ATTACTTTCACGATGAAAACGACCTTGAAATTGAGCTCAAAGTAGCGGAAATGTTCGATTTTTACCAATGTTCAGGAGTAAGCAAATCACACCACACATCCAATACACGTCAACTGGGGAGTCTAATGTTCTTTCACTAGTGCACTGATATTATTTATACCATTTTTACAATAATGCGTTAGTCTGCATAACAGTAAATTTTGTACTTTTTGTATGACTAAAAAATCAAAATAGAAAGCAATAGTAATATAAGAGTGGCCTAGAGACGTGACTAATGAACAGAGAATATGTTATTTTAGTGCAAAGAATGTCTACATTGTTTATTTTGGACCCTATTTTGAAATTGGCATCTTTTTTTAATTTGCGTGAAACTGGCCAAATTGCCAATTCCTGACCACTTTACTGGGTAGTTCAAATCGGTAAATGGGCAGTTTCTTGTACTCAACTGATAGAAAAAATGGAGTTCTAAAAGAAATAGCTATGAGTTTGGTCAACTGGAACAACAGAATTGGCCAAAAACAGGGCTCAAATTCGGTGAAATTGCCGATGTGCATATGTCGCTGAAACCGCTAACTTCGCGGGAGCGTAATTCCACGAGTTTTCGACCAAATTTCGTACTTTTGATGTCATTACCATCGAGAAAAGATTCTCTATCATTTTATAAGAAAAAATAATTTTTTTTTTTCCAAAAATTTTTCGACGTAGAATGACAGTTTCAGAAAGGGGCCTGCGACAGTCAAAGGGCTAAACATGATGTTACAAATATCTATTCCATACCTGGCTACACAGCCATACACAACTGTAGGTCAGATCAATTAGAAGGTGGAACAGCTATATACCACTCTGATGAACTAGTGTGTATAAATTCTACTTGCACAAGGGATGAATATGGTGAATATACCTTTGCTAAATTTAATAAATCCAAAGACCTTACAAAACCTCTAACAGTTGGAGCAATTTATCGAGTTCCTTGCTCCAATAATTACTCTTTTAGTGAAAAATTAAGAAACATAATAACTAGTGCTGCAATGAACAAACACCACCTAATACTTACAGGGGACTTCAACATAAATCTTATCCATGACCATGACCCACAAGTGACTGAATTCATACACACTATGAACAGCTGCTTACTTCTACCAACAATAACAAAACCTACAAGAATCACTGACACAAATGCCTAATTACTAGACCATACCTGGACAAACACTATATTCTCGTTAAAAGCAGGCATAATCACAGATAACACCATTGACCCCTATCCCATCTTTCTCATAACCAACTAGTGTAAAGTGCCCCAAGACACAACTAAGATCACATTCCAACTACATGACGAGTCATCTGTTAATAATTTTATTTCAGCATTTAGCAACATTGGCTGGCAAAACAAGCTAGCAGACAACTTCGATATTCATGACTGTGTTAACATTTTTTACATAAAACCCAAAACCTTTATAACATGCATTGCTTAATAAAAATTAAGAAGATCACAGCAAAAAGACTAAACAGCCCCTGGCTTACAAACAGCATCCTCAAATCTATTCATAAAAAAATCTATATGAAAAACAGTACAGAATGGGTCTAATAACAAAGGATCTCACAAAACATTACTCGTCAATACTAACCAATCTAATAAGGAGGTAAAAAAAAACTGTATTATGAAAACAAACAGATTTCACGACATAAAAGGTGATACGAAAAAGACCTGGAAAACCTTATCAGAAATTCTAGGAACAAAAAAGCTGTCACAAAACAGACTGATTAATTAACTAAACCAGATGAACCTCTCCTACAGCCAACTGATACTGACAACAAACTTAATCTTTTTCTCTACCGTAGGAACAAAACTAGCAAGTAAAATCCCAAGCTCAAACATTTAACCAAAAGACTACCTTGCTGACAACTACCCTAATACTCTGTTTTTAGTCACAACTAATCCTACTGAAATCTCACTTATCATCAAAACACTAAAGAACAAGACAGGGTACCTAAATAACTTACCACCTCTTGTGTATAAAAAAGCTTCTCATGTGTTGTCACCAATTATTGCAACTCTCTTTAACAAATCCATTGAATCTTCCACTTTCCCATCCATACTCAAGAAGCAAGAGTCACCCCAATCCTCAAAGGAGGTGATTCAACTGAAATAAACAATTATAGGCCTATATCAAACCTGCCCCTGCTATCTAAAATCTTCGAAAAATTAATACACACACGTCTACTCCTACTTCATATCCCACAACATACTCAACCCTTGTCAGTTTGGGTTCAGACCAGAAAAAAGCACTGATGATGCTATTATGCATATGATAGAACTAATATACTGCACTCGAGAAAAATGAATTTTCCCTGGGACTCTTCATAGACTTATGAAAAGCTTTTGATACAGTTGACCATGACCTTTTACACTCTCTCAATTACCTAAAATCTTATCTTAGCAATAGAACCCAGTATGTATACACAAATGGAGCCTGTTCCACTACACAACTTGTTCTTGTTGGAGTCCCACAGGGGAGCATTCTTGGCCCACTTCTCTTTCTCATTTACATCAATGACCTACCAAATGCATCTAATCTCCTTAAACCCATTTTATTTGCAGATGACACATCTTATGTCTTTTCTCACTCAAACCCAACCATACTAACAGATACAGTAAATGTTAAACTGCTAAAAATATCAACTTGGATGATTACCAACCAACTTGTTCTTAATACAGACAAAACCTGCTTCATGATTTTTCGAAACAGCTTCAAATGTGCGGCTAAACCTATTGATAAATGGTTCACCTATCTCGAGACAGGCAGAGGGCAAATTTCTAGGTCTCCACTTTGACTGCAGTCTCAAATTTCAGACACACATACAGCAAATTTCCAAGGAAGTCTCCAAAACAGTAGGCATCCTTCCAAAGATACAGTACTATGTACCCCAATCAGCTCTTCTAGCTTTGTACCACTCTCTCATTTACCCTTACCTCACTTATGGTATTTGTGCATGGGGGCTCAACTACAGCAAATCACCTTAAGCCTCTAATAACCCAGCAAAAAGCTGTAGTGCGATTGATTACTAACTCCTGCATTGGACAACACACTCCACCTCTTTTCAAGTCTTAACTTGCTAAATATACAAAACATTCACACATATTATTGTGCCTACTACATACACAAAACACAATACTCTAATGTAAACCCTCCTCTCAAACTCCGCTTTGATAACTGTAAGAGAACACGTAACCATAACATAAGACACAGATCGCTCTTCGATATACCCCGTGTTCATCTCTCCCTATTCAAAAATGCTATGCACGTAAAAGGCCCGAAGATTTGGAATTCATTGCCAGAACAAATTAAAGGACCCCTGTCTGCTAATCAGTTTAACCCTTTCAGGGTTTCTGACGTACTAGTACAGCTTACGTGCCAGGGTTACTGACATACTAGTACACATAAATTCTAGCACCTTCAAATCAAGCGGGAAAAGGCTGGTAGGCCTAGATGTGAGAGAATGGGCCTGCGTAGTTGGTGTGGGTGGTAGGAAAAAAGTCTGGGATCCAGTGGTGCATTGTGGGAACGCCATTTAAGTACACCTTGTTCACCATGCATCGCAGTAAGAAACTCCTCACTCCTCGGGGAACTGGGACACTTTTGTTCCCCAGTGACAGTTCTAATACAGATGGAAGTGCCAGTGAACATGAGTTTCAAGGTTCTGATGAGGTTGTGACCAAAACTAATGACCATAATACCGGTAATAGTGAGGAAAACCCAGACGACCCTCAACCTTCCACCACTGATGCTGGGCCGTCTTGTTCACGTTCAGCTGTACCAGAACAATAGAGGAAACTCCTATTTTCCCATATCCAGGACTCAGATGTGAGCAATGGTGATGTTAGTGATAGTGAATATGAACTACAAGCTCTTGAAAGCAGTTCCAGTAGCGATAGCGAAGTAGAATTTTCTCCAGTGAAGCGTCAGTATATACGACGGTGTATGCGCTCTGGTAGTGTGCCATATGCTATTCCAAGGGAAAGGAGTACATCTCGGAGTACATCCCGTGGCTGTAAAACAGGAAGAGATAGTGAAAATGAAGATGACAGTGCTGCAATTGGGATGGAAAATGTGCATGGTGGTGGTAGTGGTGGTGCCAGCCGTGAGGCACCAGCAGTGGGCCGTGCTGCAACCCACGCCGGTGAGTCAGCTCAACTATAACAAAGGCCACCATCCCCCACCCACCCACCACACCAACCTTCACAACCACAACCACCTGTCAATATCCAGTACCCACCAGCAGACCGTACCTGGGATTGGCAGGAAAATGACAATTTTGTTCCCAATCCCCATCACTTCAATGAAACTCAAAGTGGAATACAACCATCTTGTACACTTGGGAACGATGCCACTGAACTAGAATGTTTCGAGTGAGGAGAGGCTGTACTCAATTAGGATCTCGCCAGTTTTAATTCTTGCAATTCACACGTTGAACTCAATATACTTGAATCTTCTCTGATTGACCATGATGCCCAAAATATTCTGAACAGCCATCCAGTATAAATTAAATGATGTTTCTATCAATAATATGGTGCACTGATTAAAAGATGTTTCTTCATACTCCCCCCAAAAATTAATCTATCATTTGCCATTTTTTAAGGATGAGCTTTAAAAGACTTTTAGCCCTCATGTCATTAACCTCTAAACCATTTTTCCTCTATCATTCTTACTGGTCCTTGTGCATCTTGTTTGAGATAAGTGAATTCTTAGGTTGAGTTAAGTTAAAGTTTGAGAACAAAAATTAAAAATTTTAATATCTTAATTCACAAGAATATATATCTATTACTACATAAAAAGAAAGTTCCAGAAAAAGTACATTTTTATGAGAATCTTCCAACTATGGCTATCAGCACATGTATACGGTATAAACATACAGGCATACGAAAATTAGTCTAGCTAACAACACATCTAGAAATATTAAAGGTTGCTAACCAGAGGCAATAAAACAATCATAATACTTACTAGATTACTATCATCTTGAAAGGCATAGTGAAGGTTAGTTATCCAGCGTCTGTCCCCAAAGACTAATACGTCGCGCTCCTCATGAAAACACGCAGTCTCCGCTCTGAGTAAAGATAAAAAGGCATTATAGTTTTGGTAGCTTTCATTGTTATTTAGGACAATAATGAAATATGGAGTGGCAGACAGGTAAGGAACTTCACAGCATGGCCAGGCCAGCCTTACTTCTTGTCTGCTTAGTCAACAAGGTTGTTGTTACTAGCAATTCAAACACCCACAAAGCCATCACAGCATGCTTGATCAAGCACGTGACTTAAATAAGTGTTCCATTTTCCTCTCTGGCAATATTTATATCTATTTATATCTACTGGTAACGGTAAACAGTTTTGGACCACGAATGTTAATACAGCGCTCTTTAATCGTCTTTGGTACCCATGTTTATCACTGGATTTACTTCCTGTCGTATCTCCAGCAAGTTACCAGATGATTCGAGGTATCACCCTTCCCCACAACATTATCTAAAACCAGGCCTCCTGGCTGATGATCTGATTAGGCTGTTAGTGCTGACCACACACATTCCTAGGTAGACACCACAGCCTGACTGAGCAGAAACTTGAGGAACTTATGTTTTCCCTTGAAGATGACTAAAGTGTGACTTTGTAAATGGTCCAAGTCGGACCGAAACGTCGTCCTAAGCTCCTCTCTTCTATGTGCGGGTTATTTGTGTATCGTTCCAGTCACAGTATTGTGCCTTTTTTTTTGTTATAAGATGACTAAATGTCTGTTCATAAAATCCCTCCTGCATGAAGGTGTGAGCAAGGATTCATATGCAGCCTCTCCTCACTTAGCAATGTACTCATTTACCGACGACTCGGATTTACGACAGGATCTCTGACCAATATGCATACCTAAATAGTGTATATTAGAGCTGATTTCCTCTATTCTGTTTATTACAACATAAAGTACACTACTGCATAAACATTTAAAAATATACTAAAAATGTTATAAATGGTACTCTTACACTTAATAAATAAAGTTTTAGTGTACTCTCAGCAACACTGCTTTTCACTGGTGGTATTTTGCACCTTCATTGGGCACAATCTGTCTGAATATTTGGAACCAATTACTTTGGTGTTCCTTTTTGGAGACCTGACCCTCAAGAATCTTCCATGCATGCATTATCAGGCATTTCATTCTTCCTTTTTCTTCAGAGAACACATCTGAAGTGCTTTGAATCATTGCAAGCAGTTTAAATGTTTTACCAATTCCATAAGAGCAGTAAATGAATCTTGTACATTTACTTTGGTAAAAAATTGATTGTAATATAGGAGATATAACAGCAGGCCTACTGACCAATGCGAAGCAGGTCCATGGCCCCCCCCCTCGGATTAGCCCAATGACCCACCTAGTCAGATCATTTCCACTTAAGGAAGGAGCACAGCATCAGACCTAGTAGCACCAGCTAGTCAGGTCCAACTCACACCCACTCATGTATTTATCTAACCTATTTTTAAAACTACACACAGTTTTAGCCTCTATAACTGTACTCGGGAGTTTGTTCCACTCATCCACAACTCTATTACCAAACCAGTGCTTTCCTATATCCTTCCTGAATCTGAATTTTTCCAACTTTAAACCACTGCTGCGAGTCCTGTCTTGGCTGGAAATTTTCAGCAGGCTATTTACATCCCCTTTATTTATTCCTGTTTTCCATTTATACACCTCGATCATATCCCCCCTAATTCTACACTTTTCGAGAGAGTGCAGATTCAGGGCCCTCAGTCTGTCCTCATAGGGAAGATTTCTGATACATGGGATCAACTTTGTCATCCTCCTCTGTAAGTTTTCCAGTGCATTTATATCCATTCTGTAATACGATGACCAGACTATGCAGCATAATCTAAATACAGTGGACCCCCGCATAACGATTTTAATCCGTGCAAGAGGGGTAATTGTTATGCGAAATAATCGGTATGTGAATTAATTTTCCCCATAAGAAATAATGGAAATAAAATTAATCCGTGCAAGACACCCAAAAGTATGAAAAAATTTTTTTTTACCACATGAAATGTTAATTTTAATACACACAAACTGAAAAAGGCATGCACACTTACATGAAAACTTACTTTTATTGAAGATCTGGTGATGATTGATGGGATGGGAGGAGGGGAGAGAGAGTGTTAGTGTTTAGAAGGGGAATCCCCTTCCATTAAGACTTGAGGTGGCAAGTCCTTTTCTGGGGTTACTTCCCTTCTTCTTTTAATGCCACTAGGACCAGCTTCAGAGTCACTGGACTTCTTTCGCACAACATATCTGTCCATAGTGGCCTGTACCTCTCGTTCCTTTATGACTTCCCTAAAGTGTTTCACAACATTGTCAGTGTAATAATCACCAGCACGGCTTGCAATAGCTGTGTGAGGGTGATTTTCATCCATGAAGGTTTGCACTTCAAGCCACTTTGCACAGATTTCCTTTATCTTTGTAGTAGGCAACTTCTTCAATTTCTCTCTCCCCTCCTCTGAACCAGTTTCCTCAGGTCTGGCCTCTTGCTGTTGAAGTTGATCTATCAGCTCATCAGTGGTTAGTTCTTCATTGTCCTCCTCCACCAACTCTTCCACATCCTCCCCACTAACCTCCAACCCCAAGGACTTTCCCAATGCCACAATGGATTCCTCAAATGGAATAATCCTCTCAGGGTTAGCCTCAAACCCTTCAAAATCCCTTTTGTCTACACATTCTGGCCACAGTTTCTTCCAAGCAGAGTTCAAGGTCTTCTTAGTCACTCCCTCCCAAGCCTTACCTAAAAGGGTTTTTACACAATTGAGGATATTAAAGTGCTCTCTCCAAAACTCTCTTAGAGTCAGTTGAGTTTCTGAGGTCACTACAAAGCACCCTTTTAAACAGAGCTTTTGTGTACAGCTTTTTGAAGTTTGCAATAACCTGCTGGTCCATGGGCTGCAGGAGAGGAGTGGTATTAGGAGGCAAAAACTTCACCTTAATGAAGCTCATGTCCCCATAAAGTCGCACTGCCACGTCTGTAGGATGACCAGGGGCATTGTCTAACACCAGAGGCACTTAAGGTCTAAATTTCTTTTCAGTTAGGTAATCTTTCACATTGGGGGCAAATGCATGGTGTAACCAGTTATAGAAAAAGTCCCTAGTGACCCATGCCTTACTGTTTGCCCTCCACAGCACACACAAATTATCCTTGAGGACATTCTTTTGCCTGAACGCTCTGGGAGTTTCAGAGTGATACACTAATAAAGGCTTCACTTTGCAATCACCACTAGCATTGGCACACATCAACAAAGTAAGCCTGTCTTTCATAGGCTTATGTCCTGGGAGTGCCTTTTCCTCCTGAGTAATGTAGGTCCTGCTTGGCATTTTCTTCCAGAACAGGCCTGTTTCATCACAAATTAAACACTTGTTCAGGTTTCAGTCCTTCACTGTCTATGTACTCCTTGAATTCCTGCACATATTTTTCAGCCGCTTTGTGGTCCGAACTGGCAGCCTCACCATGCCTTATCACACTATGGATGCCACTACGCTTCTTAAATCTCTCAAACCAACCTTTGCTGGCCTTAAATTCACTCACATCATCACTAGTTGCAGGCATTTTTTTAATTAAATCCTCATGCAACTTCCTAGCCTTTTCACATATGATCGCTTGAGAGACGCTATCTCCTGCTAGCTGTTTTTCATTTATCCACACCAATAAGAGTCTCTCAACATCTTCCATCACTTGCGATTTTTTGTTTCGAAAAACACAGTTAAACCTTTGGCAAGAACAGCTTCCTTGATTGTCTTTCTGGTGCCCACAATAGTAGCGATGGTTGATTGGGGTTTTCTTGTACAACTTGACTAGGTCGGCGATACGCACTCCACTTTCATACTTATCAATGATCTCTTTCTTCATCTCTATTGGAATTCTCACCCTTATTGGTGTACGGTTGGCACTAGAAGCTTTCTTGGGGCCCATGGTCACTTATTTTCCAGAAACAGCACCGAAAACACTGTAATAATACGAAATATTCCGAGTGTATGCTTGGATGTTACCGCGGAGGCTGGCTGGTAAACAATGGCACGGGCGGCACATGTGAGGCTGGCTGAGGGCGCACATTGGACGCGTCTCGGACGAAAATAGGTGAGCGGGTTTTTAATCGGTATGCGCGGCAAAATTTTTGCGATTAAAGCAAGTGGTATGCGGATTAATCGCTATGTGATGCCATCATTATGCGGGGGTCCACTGTAAGGCCTAACAAAGGATATATAGAGTTGAAGAACAACCTGAGGACTTCTATTATTTATACTTCTAGATAAGAAGCCAAGGATTCTGTTGGCTTTATTGCGAACATTAATGCACTGTTGTCTTGGTTTTAGATTACTGCTAACCAGAACTCATAAATCCTTTTCGCAACCAGCAGTATTAAGATCTACATTTAGTTTACATGTGGCATGGTTATTTTTTTTGTCCAACATTTAGAACTTTGCATTTGTCTATACAGTGGACCCTCGCATACCGTTGGCATCACATAACGTTAAATCCGCATACCGATACATTTTATCACTAAAATTTTGCTCGCATACCGCTAAAAAACTCGCTCAACGCTATTCGTCCGAGACGCTTCTAATGTGCGGCCTGAGCCAGCTTCACATGTTCAGCCGGTGGCATTGTTTACAAGCCAGCCTCCGCGGTAACATCCAAGCATACAATCGAAACATTTCGTATTATTACAGCGTTTTTGGTGATTTCATCTGCAAAATAAGTGACCATGGGCCCCAAGAAAGCCTCTAGTGCTAACCCAGTGGTAAAAAGGGTGAGAAACACTATCATACCACAGTCAGCTGCTGCTGCACCACGGTCAGCTGTTGCTGGATCAGTCAGCTGCTGTTGCACCTCGATCAGCTGTTGCTGGACCAGTCAGCTGTTGCTGGATCAGTCAGCTGCTTCTGCACCACGATCAGCTGTTGTTGGACCAGTCAGCTGTTGCTGAATCAGTCAGCTGCCGCTGCACCACGATCAGCTGTTGTTGGACCAGTCAGCTGTTGCTGGACCAGTCAGCTGTTGCTGGATCAGTCAGCTGCTGCTGCACCACGATCAGCTGT